GTACCATTTTAAATCCTCCCAGACTCCCTTCTTATTCTGGGGGTTGCTGCAGTGACCAATTCTGTGCAGGCATCAACCGGCTTCTCTCAAAGGCAATATAACAGCACCTTGTCTCTCTCACTCTACCCATAGCATGGGATACTGCATCTCATGTCATAGCGTGGAATACCTGCAGAAACCAGCACCCCCATGCATATGTACAACTAGATGTATACGGTGAAAGTTTGACCAGTGACAAACAGGAGTCAGTGTATAAATGCTTTCCTCTCTCTCCACTCCAGTGCAGAGTTCTGAGACACATTTTGCAAGGCTTCTCAGAAAGTACCATAAAGTTAATCAACTAGTTACCCATGACAGGAGTCAATTCAATAATGTATCCTTGAATTGGCTTGTCCTCTGAACCCCAATCCTACTCCCTGAACTCACATTCTCAGGTAAACTACCAGCGCATGAGCCTTTGTCTTGGGCTCTGCTTTCACAGGAATGCAGGCACCAAAAGTGGCTTTAGCAAGCCAATTCTTCAGTATGGCATTTTGGAGCTGGACCCTACAACACTGATCACAAGACAATAAGGACCCCTGCTGGTGGTAAGCGGTGAGCGGTAAACTGCAAGTGGTGATAACCTCTGGCATGCAATAGGGCCACAATTACTAGGACTCTCAACATAGTATTAATACACTGGAATGAGGTACAGGCAGAAGATGAAGCATTGGATTATATTGTGGATATGATACTCAAGCATTATGGAAGCAATTATAATTATAAAGCAGGCTGACTTCTGTTAACTGCTCTGGAGATCTTAATAAAAGGGAATAACAGGCTCGATTCATCCAACTATCAAATCAGAGTACACCATGAAAGCCAGAGGGCCTCTAGGGCAATGCAGCCACTGAGCAGACTGTGCTGAAAATCAGCCCCAGCATCTAATCATAAGAGCTGCATGCATGCAAAGGAGGCCAAATGCGCAGCCTTGAAACATCACCTATGTCAAAGCCAGGACACTAATAGAAAAATAATGAACTCTGAGATCTAGAATGGGGACATTTGTATGGGCCTTAGAATCTTAAATCCCCAGAGTTTTTTCATCCTCTGCACCAACAGTTTTCTTCTTCTTGATAAAAGAAAGCAGCTTTCCTTGTCTGGAAATGCTGCAAAGAATATACCTGAGGCAAAGGCTTCATAATAGGACCTAATTTTCCTCAACATCCACCCCTGTTACTACCACTACACTATGTTTCCCAGAAGTAAGGATGTTGGAATGAACTTACTATAAAACTAAAGTACCCACCACTTGGACATGTTGCCCAGAAAGGCTGGGATGCAGGTTGCCCTAATGTTCGGGCCATTTTTTCCAGCAGATCTTATGCTGCTAGAAGGCTCTATGATGGATAAGAGCACTGTGGGAAATCTCTGGAAAGCACCAGCAAGACACTTGCAGCACAGTTCCCTAGTGTGCTGTAGGGCCATGACTTCTGAGGCAGAAAAGTAATCTCCCTTTGGAAACTAGAGCTAGAGATTATCAGTCCAACCAAATCATAAGTGCAAAGGTGCAGAAGCGATCTACTGAAGCATGGAAATCATGTAGGATCTAGCCCAAGTAGGTCCAGAAGACACAAGTAAATTACACGAATATGTGATTCAAACTCCCATGGCGCTTACTTTTACAGCGTTGACATCTCTTCCTCCACTCACTCCTATGGCCTCTCAGGAGTTCTTTATGACTACCTAACACAGAATAAAACATTGGAGCC